CAAAACTAAAATACTTTCTTTTTTCTCTAAACACTTTTTTATGATGTGTAATAGATTTCAAATATATATATATATATATATATATATATATATATTACATATTTAAGAGTATCTATCTCCTAATCAGAAGGAACTACACCTCAAGGTTTTTCCTTCCCTATTTAATCTAGCACTGATGGTAGGGTATGTCACATACTTAGCCAACAGGGGCTCTCTAGCTCGGGGGAAAGGAGAAGGCAAGATATCTGCAGAGACTTACACCTGGCAGAATCTTGGGACAGGAGGAGAGGAGCCAACAATACATCACAGCAATGACATCTAGAACCAAGTAATTCCCCAGGTTCAAACATACTTCAGGCAAGACTTGATTTTAGTTTTCAAACTTGTGATAGACTGACCATAGAATAGTGTAGAGAAGAGAAATATCACCCCCTTAAGATATGCAGATCTTCTCTATGCTAGATGACATGATTCTCGGTGTTGGAAAAACACATTTTTGACCTAGTAGGGGAAGCTCATCAGTGAATGTCCTGAAGTCAATTTCCACACTGTGTCCTTGGATATGCTGACATCCTGGATTGCAGCTATCACTTGTTACTGTGACAAAAAAGAAAGTCTGATGTCTTGAGTAATGTCAGATAGATTTCACTTTCCCCTCCTAAGAAAAAACCTCACTTTCACAATGTCTAATACAATGTCATCCAATAGCAGTCAGAGCTGACATGGTAGCAGGGTGCATGGGCCCTGTCTAGAGCCACATAAATCTTGTTCAGAATAAGTGTTTGATTCAGTGCTTGAGACATACCTGCTTTCTCATAGTAACTGCAACACAGTAATGACATGAGAAAATCCTAGGAGAACACTAGGTAAGTGAGAAGCAGGTCCAATGGAATGCAGCACAAGGAAGGGGAGCTTTGTCTTTCAGGCCTGGAGAAGTTAGGACCATGGCAATCATAACTGAAACACTCATTTTTACCACTGGTCTTCCTGAAGGCAGGATTCTGAATCCAATCCTGTGCTGTCTGAGGTTCCCCAGGTTGATGCATTTTCAAAGAGAGGATACTGAAGAAGAAATCACTGCTTGAGCTCCCACAGTGTTGTCAATAGATATTTTCCACAGAATCCAAGTAGGTCAAATACCTCTTGCTTGGTTCACTTGGGATCACATGGAACAATGCTGAAGGAGCTTGCTTGCCAAGTACAAGATTTCCACTGTGGCTCTGGTCCAGGCACTCTCAGATCAGTAACACTAGGCCATCACCAAACTCTTCAAAGCTGCTGTTGATGGAATTGAGACAGTTGTTTACAAAAAAAATACCAGATGTATGAGAATAAATATGCACCCAAACCTGTATATATTTCTTGGGAAAAATTCAATTTCCATGGCAAAGCAGCACCAAGAGCACAAGGGAGCATGAAAGAATTGGCAAAAAAGCTTCATTCAGAAATACGGTTACTGATATTTGATCTTACACAATCCTGGCAAACAAAAATTACTCCTTCATATGTTTATATAAATATTCCCACCACCACCCCCAGCTTGAGTCAAACAGTGTGGTCTTATAGTAGTTCAGCACTTTGTGTCTAAGGGCTGCATTTTTAAACTAATACCAGCTACCTTACAACTGGACTTACAGTTTTGTGAAGCCACCATGTCATTACTGTCTCTGCTGTTTGCAGCTGCTGGCCTCTCATCTCTCTCTGTCCAAACACAACCTATGTAAATGCTGGCAGAGAGTAGAGAAGGGAACCAATGAAACTGGAGCACGCAGACAGCTGTCTTTCCCTCCCCCTTCACGCCCCCTCTTTTTTTCTCCTTTTGTAAAGATATTTGGATGTTGTTCTGTTCAGCATTACAAGCCCCACTGTGCTCTGGAGGGTCATGCCTAAGTAGGTTCAAAAATATCAGTCAGTGTGTTAGGTGAAAAAGCAAGGAGTGCTAAAGACAGCTTAAAGAGCAAGCCAGAAGTGATACAGTAGAAGAGTTTAGAAGCTTAAAAAGGGGAGAAAAAAAGGAAAAAAAAAAAAAAAGATAAGAATGCAACATACAGGTGGGGATTTGGGGTGAGAGAATATTTTTGAGGTGGAGAAATGGGTAGCTATTAGAACAAGGAAAGAAAGTAGCAAAAAATAATGGGAAAAGCAAGACCTTGAGAATTAAATTCACACAGGAAAAAGTTGGAGAAAATAAAGTAAATTTAAAGATTAGGAAAACAGAAACAAAACAGAAGAACTGACAAGAGAGAGAAAACTGCACATATGGATAGAGAGAAAGGATAATTAAAGCATCAAAAACAAGGAGCTAAGCTCTTTGTAGTTAAAATATATACACACTGTGAGAGACACAAAGTAATAGAGACAGCATTAAGTGGATTTTCTTAGTTTGGGCTGTTGTGGAAACCAACCACCCTCATGTGATACTATGCCTGAGCTACATCTTGCCAGGAACCTCATATTTCAGTGGGTCTCTGCTCACCCACACATTTCCATGCTGTGCTCTTTTCCTGGGTGACAACACACTTCTAAAGTTCTGAGCCTGAAAGAAAGCTGTGATGAAAGCCTTTTGTTTATTTTTTTCCTGTTTCTGATATTTTACTTTTATAAATCCCCATTAGCAGTTGGGACTCCTGTGCCTGTGACACACATCCCATGTGTGACACACATCCTCAGACCTGATCTTTCTTTCATACCACTCGTCAGGTGACTACGGCTGACTTCAATCAAAGCCCACAGAGAACAACCAGTGTCAGGGTGCAAAGGGAAGGTACTGGTTCATGTGGGAACAATGCTGAAAAGGGTAGACTTAGCTTAAGCTGGCAGAAAGAATTTGAGCAAGAGTGACATTTGGAATTTGGGAAAGAGTAGGTGGTATAGGAAGAACTATGGATGGTAAAAATAAAAAATGAAAATCATGGTGCCCCTACTGAAACCACCTACACCACCACCATCTTTTATCTGTCACTTCAATCACTTGCTGAGTTGACACAGATTTTACTCTTTGCACCCTAGAGCAAATTTTTCAAAAGTACTGTACCTACAGCCTCAGATGGAAAGCCAGTAAAAGTTTAAAAGCTTCCACAGGACTTAAAACCTCAGTCTCTCACTAAAAAAACAAAAAACAAAACAAAACAGAAAAACAGGAGGGTGACATGGTAGCATATTTGCCTGTTCTTCATACATCCTCTCCTTCAGGAGGTGCCCCATACTCTGCTTCCCAGAGCTGAATGCATGGGAAAGCTGAGATGCTCTGAACAGCCCGACTGTACACTCCCACACAATGCCCAGGGGCTGGAGCTCTCATGGAGCTCAGCCCTGGTCCTGTGGTGGAGGTGGCCCAGTCTCCTGCTCATCTGATGACCACTGGATCACCAGCAGGTCTTGTCACTACCTCAGACCTGCTTGGATGTGAGGGATGGTGCCTTGACCAGGAGGGCACTGCCCTGCCTTGGCAGGGTGCTTTCTAAGGGGGAAGCCTTACTCTTGCTGCTCCCTGGCACTGACTAGGAGGAACTGGGACTTGGCTGAACTGTAAACTGTGAGCTACTATCACTTGTTTGTCTGAACACAAATAATTCAACATTTGTTAGGGCCATGATCCCTTCCCAACTCCCAATTTTGTTGCTCCTGTGCAACAAAAGAAAAAAAAATGCCATGTAGATAGGGCAGGAATTCAAGCAGTTTTTGGGAATTTATAGATGAAAGAAAAAAGCTTTAGTTACGTTCTCTAAAAGCACAATAGTGGTATGTCCTTAGAATTCCAGTTCACAGCTGGGCTGGACAGTTTAGGGGAGCAAGAAGTGAAAATACATTTATGTGTATTTTTTATATATATTCTTTCTGTGTAGAAAACACAGAAGAAACAATCTTAATTATGTTATGTGTGCTACCATTTCTTTGTACCTTTCTTTGGTATGTTGTTAGGAAATGGGTCAATTTCAGGAATGTAGTTTTTAATTTTCACTACTACAGTGGGTAAACTGATAGCCTTTCAAAAATACGGAGCAATGCTCTGGGGATAAAACTACACCACAGTGACTGACACACAAGAAAATTGTCTCTTTAGAAAACACAAACCTTTAGAACTGAGAATTGTGATGGATTTCAGAAAATTACTCTGTCTAGCCCTGCTCTGAGGTGGAATCAAATACTCCCAGACCAGCCTGGCACGTGCACACCCTAACTTTACAAAAACTTTCTGTTAAGGAAGTTCCTTTGGCCCAAAAGTTTGTCTGTTCTGGTGTTTCACCACTACAATACCAAATAACAGAGAAGAGATTCAGAGCATGTCTGTTAATAGTAGGGACAAACATCATCCATTCACTGCTATGACAATGTAACACTCAAGTTGGATTTGATGATCCTTGTGGGTCTCTCCAATAGAGAGTCTCTCCAGACTATTCTGTGTGCTGTAATTTTCTGCTTGTGACCTGTGATTTTTGTCTATACAATGTCTGGAAACAGCCTGTGCCATGCTTACGTCTATCGCTTTCTTACTCTACAACGGTATTTCTACATTTCCTTTCTTCCAGAGGGTTTGCTGGAGGCCTGGAGTAGAGAGTGGGTGGAGGATGGCCTCCTCCCTTTGAAGGATGAACAGCTGGTAAAGAACTGTTTTGGCACTTTCGTCTTTGACTTATCATAGAATCATGGAATGGCCTGCATAGGGACGAGACTTAAGATCATTCAGTTCCAACCCTTCTGCCATGTAAGACTCATTCCACAGGTTGCACAAAACTCCATCCAGCCTAGCCTTGAGTACTTCCAGGGATTGAGCATCCACAACTCCTCTGGGCAACCTGTTCCAGTGCCTCACCCCCTCCACAGTAAAGAATTTATGCCTAGTATCTAATCTAAACCTACTCTCAGACTGAAGCCATTCTCCTGTTGTCCTATCACTACAAATAATCCTTGAAAATAGCTCTCTCCATCTTCCTTGTAGCCTCCCTTTAGGTAGAGGAAGGCTTCAAAAAGGCCTTAAGCCTCCTCTTTTCCAGGCTGGAAAAACCCAGATATCTCAGCTTTCACTGTAGGAGAGGTGCTTCATGCCATTAATCACCATGGAGGATGGTGATACTTCACTTGACAAAGTTGAGCATGTAGTATTGAAAATTTAAACTGACAAAATTTGCACACGTGCACCAATTTTTTTCCAAATCTGAGTAAAATTAACAGGCTTTGCCACGGAGGTGGTTATTGTAGATTTACCATATTTGTACCCCATAGCTGCCACGACCAGCTCCGGCTTGCCCAGCTATTGCTCCAAAGCAGTCAGGCTGAGGGGGGGCCGAAACCGCAGGGAACAGCGACACAAGCACCGGGAGGAAACAACAGCACCACGGCAATTCATCTACTTGGAATCCAACAACAACCAGCCTAGTCCAGCGCAGCACGCCGGGGACTGACTCCCGCTTTGTGAACCTGCAGCGAGGCTGAGCACTGACGGCTCCGGGCTGACCCGCCCCGAAGGCACCTGCCGGGCACCGCCGCCACGCATGCGCGCTCTCGTCACCGCCAGCCCAGAACTACA